GTGTTTCGCCATGATTTCCCGGATCAAGGCTAATGCAGTTGCTTCGGAAGATCATGCATCGAAGCATGAGATAGGACTGCTTTTGGCTTGCTAATGTCTCTGGACGACGGTTTTTTCCATTTTGGAATCTGAGCTCAGAAGAAGCCCTGCTCAGATGATTTCAAGCCTTTTGTTCTTCAAGCGATCCTTTTGCACTCTGTATGGTTTGTGAGGAAGACGCAGAAGCACAGCCAGTGAATGAGCTGTACAGAATAGTCAGTGAATACTAACTCCTGATGCATTTTTCGAAAAAAATCCATCAGATTCAATCTGTCGACCATCGACAGGTCTTTCTTTCTCTACACCCTTGGGGGTGTCGTGCCTCAGGCAAACCTGCATATCTTCACACTTCGAAGACTTCCACTAGTGCAAAGCTGTGCATCCAATCTTTTCTTCTTGGACAATAGCTCGGCCTGGGTCATTGAAGTGGTCCGAGTTGCCAAGACAGGAATTGGCAACTCCTAGAGCTTGGTCGTTGACATCGACATCAAGTTGGTCATCAAATTTTTCTGGCCTTGCTGGAACATCTTCAAAAAGATGGCTCAGCCGCCAACATCAAAGATGTCATGGTGGGCCTTACATGGCCGGATCTGATAGCAGACCACTCGGATGAAACAATGCGCGAATCTGGTGTTGCTGCTGGAAGACTCCTGAACTTTGCACCTTTCTTTGTGAAGTTGCCGAGATATTGGTGTTGATCAGGGTCTGTGGCGCGTGTTTTACATGTTTCGTGCAATCAAAGTTGGATCGAACATTGAGCTGTGAAGGAGGGCGGACGACATGATTTGCGCTGTGTTATGCGTCATTCTCGGTCCACAGCACGAGAATGAAGTTGGTCGTTTTTATGAATCTATAGAAACCGTATATTCCTGCAAGTGATGTGTTCATTCCAAAGAGGCTCGTGCCTCGGGGGGGTAGAAATCAAAGTCAAAGCTCCGTGCTCACCATGGCAATGCTGATTGAACAAGCTGAGGGTGGCGTCACATGCAAATGCCATCTCAGCACTATGTGGTGCGTGCCTGGTATGGCAGAACCAAAGACCGGTGGCAAGAGGGAAATGGGAATGTAAGGCCGTTCTAGGACTTGTCAATTCCCACGCAGCTCGTCAAGAGGATCGCAAAAATGGACTCGGGCGAATTTAGGGTAATGTTTATCATGCTTTGCGCAAACTCTTCGGACGGCGAAGTCGACTTCTAGTTTTCTTTTGGAGGGCGTGTGTTCTTGCTCTTTCAGATCAGCCACGCCTTTGCACTCGGCGCTGCTAGATACCTGAGTTGTGAGAGTGAAATCAATAGACAAGTCAGTCAACTTCTGAGTGGCGATCCAGAGATATTATTCCCCCGGAATTGGATTCGCAATTCGGCCTTCGCAAGTCAATTTTGGGATTCCGCTTCTTTAGGGGCATGTGGGGGCTCTCTTGCTTTTCTGTATTCTTTTTTTTTCTCTCCCTCTCTCTCTCTATGTGAATGTGGCCTTTTGCCGACCCTGCGCAGCTGGACGCGCGTTGTTTAGTTCTTTTCTCTTCTGCCTTTTGACAACAACCTTTCCATCGCTCATGCAGCTTGGTGATCGGGTTCTTCTTCCTCCCGGCACCTCGCACTTGGACTGTCTGTACAGGAAATGTCTGTTTGATAGATCTTGTGGTCAACTTTGTGGTTGTTTGTGATGGGACGCAACGCTATTCTTCACAGGATCGATATTCGTGGCACTGATCAGTGCGCCCTGGTATTACAACGCGATGGACTTCAGTTTTCCATTGCAGTTGGCGGCCTGAAGTCTATTGTTCCTGGCGGTGCTGAGTTTTCAGCTCTTAGCACACCCACGGAGATGCTGAACACCAGAATTATCAGAGCAACTTAAGACACCGCCTTACACTTTAGTTCGTTGCCAAAGCGACTTGACCTAGATTGACCCACCTTCCACAATGATGTGCAAGCAGACAAAACATATCAACATATATCAACACACATGAATAACTTTTTCACTTCAAGCAATTCGCAAACGTTTGCACTACTTAACATACAAACGTTGGCAGCGCAGACACGCAGCTAGAAAAAAAAATCGCCGTCACCAGCTGCCACACATCCTCTCTTCTTGGTGATTTTTGAGGTCTCAGCGAAATGCTCGAGGAAACTGAGGATCGGCTCCTTGTAATTGTTTGACGATATCTTTGTGATGCGTGTGGAACATACACTCAGTGAGACGAACATCAAGCGTGTTAGCTGGCATTAAGATGGCTAAGAAGTTTTAATTGTTCCACACGATCCGTCAGGATCTACGCTACTGTTTTGTTGAGACTGATTCTACATGATTGTACTAAATACTTAATCCCCAGCACCACCTGCAGTGTTGGTCATGGTCAACTAGCTTGGGATTCCAATGGCCGTCACACATTGCTGAAGAAACTGGAAAGCCAATCGCTGTCCGATCGCTGAACGGAGAGGGACCGACATCAAACAGCTGAACGAGTGTTCGCCGATGAGCGGCAGAGCGTCGGCGTAAGATATTTCGTTTGGGCTCCCCATAAGGCCGCGAAGCCAACCTTGCTCAAGGTGAAGAAGACAATTGAAGAAATACGGGTGAAGCACTTGATGTGCAAACAATGAACTTTCACACCCCAAATCCGAACTCAGAGCTCCCATGTTCCGCACGCATCAAAAGCCTCTCATTCGCGTCAAAAGCCTCTCATTCGGGGCCGATGGGTTTTCCTTGGCAGTCAGCTCTGGCAGCCGTGTTTGGCATTGGTGTGGGTGTACTTTTGGAAAGGCTCAAAAACCGAAGTGGTGCGAAGAAGGCAGTTGAGTCATCTAGCGACGTTGTAAAGTCAGGTAGTTTTGTGTTTGTTGGACGGGAGCAGCTGGAAAAGACCGTGGCTTCGTGCTTGAAAGCGGCTGGAGCTCCACCAGACAAAGCACAGCTGGTGGCCCAAGTCCTTGTGGCGGCGGACGCTCGAGGGATACCATCACATGGTGTGAACCGTGCAGAAATGTATTGTGGCGAACTCAAGGCGAAGTTGATCGATCCTGGCGCTGATCCCAAGATTTCATCCGATTCAGCGAGTGCTGCCAATGTCGATGGATGTAATGGACTTGGTGCAGTAGTTGCTTCATATGCAATGAAGTTGTGTATCCAAAAGGCAAAGTCCACTGGTATTGGCTTAGTTGTGTGCCACAACAGCAACCATTTTGGCATTGCAGGATTCTGGTCAGAACTGGCATTGAAGGAGAAACTGATTGGTTTTGCCTTTACGAACACCAGCCCATTTCTGGTTCCAACGCGGGCTTGCCAGCGTGCTGGAGGAACAAACCCCATAGCATGCTACTGCCCAGCAGAAGGAGATAGTTTTCAACTTGACATGGCCACAACCACCGTGCCCATTGGAAAGATTGAGGTTTGTCATCGAAAGGGGCAGCAGATTCCAAATGGATGGGGAGTGGATAGCACTGGAGTGTGCAGCACTACAAACCCTGAGAAGATTCTGAAGGGGGGCGGGCTGACTCCTTTGGGAGGTCTAGAAGAAACTGCGGGCTACAAAGGCTATGGTTTGAACATGATGGTGGAAATCTTGTGTGCCATCCTAAGTGGTTGCCAGAAGGTGGGTCCTGCAGTGCCTCCCTGGAGGGTGGATAGAGGCACTGCTGTTGACTATGGACACTGTTTCATTTGTATTGATCCTGCAAAGTTGTTGCCATCAGGAGACTTTGAAAAAGCTTTAAGTGGCTATTTGTCAACCATGCGACAGCTTCCTGCCGGAGATGTGGAACGTTCAGTGCTTGTTCCTGGAGACCCTGAACGTGCAGAGGAAGACGATGCTGCAAAGCAGGGTGTTCGGTTGAACCGGCAGATCGCCTTGGGTTTGCGAAGTTTGGCACAAAGCCTGGGCTGTTCTGGATCGCTTCCTGCCGAAATCCAGGCCCTTCCAGAAGATGCTTCTGCACCAAAGCATCCGCATGCAGTTTGAAAAAGCGACACTTCAAGACCATCCTTTCAAATACTTTGAAATTGGACTTTGAAGTGCTACATGTTTCTCAGTGAACATAGATCTCTGTTGCATTGCTCAAGAAATCACGTTTTGGTAGTGTACTAGAGTGATGACGATATTTGGCTAAAAAAATGAAAACATATAGCTTCTCCTGCATGTTTTTGGCATGCCAAAGACATTTTCCTACGTCTGAGCAGCAAAGAGGTGCGACCGTTGGAATTTCGTAGTGCGGTCGCCTGGAGGACTGGAGACCACAGATACTCCAAGATGATCAAAGGAACATGTCATGTACAGTCCAATATAGCACACCTACAAGTCAGGCACAAGCACGTCAGGCAGGTTTTTCAGGGCCCGCAAGAATGCCATGCGACACCTTCTTCCGGCTGTGGCATGTCCTTCTTGGTCTATATCTTTTGGAGGCTGAAGGCCATTTTGCCAATGAGTTGGAGGCAGGCTTGCGATTGGAGGACTGGGCACAGTTTTCCAAAAGACGGGTGTGTTCTATGCACAAAAGCTGGCACATTAAACACCTTGAACTCAAGGAAAGAAGGTCCAACTTGGCAACTCACGGACAATACAGGCCAGCACTATCAAACATTCAGGTGTCATCAGCTGCCTATGTTCTTTAGTGAGGAGGATAGTTGCTCCAACTCGGCATGCTGGCTGCAGCGCAGAGCCAAACGCCAGAGCGAGTTCTTGGGTGGCACGGGCAGTCTGGGGGTTGTTTGCTCCATTTTTGTTGCCTTGTGATCCTTAGCGTCCTAATCCAAAGACAAAGTCAGGGGGAGGCCTTGGCGCATGGAAAACTGTCCAAGAGATGCCAAGTGAGCTGAGGAATAGCAGAGAGGAGCACGCCATCGAAACAAATAGCTCCAACATCGCAAAGGTGAATACTAACGCCAGTAGTGAATTCTATTGCGATTCTCATACTGGTGGAAGTTGCAGATTCTGGTCCTGTTCATCTACCCGTGGGCCAACCATGTGCAAGTCTTCACAGTGCCGCTGCAAACCGGGATTTTGCGCGGTGAATGGTATTTGCATGGAGCGCACAGCTCATGTCACCGACACCTGCAACCGGCGCACTGGGGGCAGCTGCCGCTTTTTGGGCTGCTCCTCATGGCGAGGAGCTGTTGACTGCATCGATGGGGCATGTGTGTGCCAAGCAGGCTATTGTAGTGCTGATGATGGCAGTTGCCACAAGCCCAAGCCTCGGATCAAAGCCAAGGTGGTCCCTGTGAATTTGCAGTCCCAGGTGTTCCCTGCCGCGCAGGTGGGGGCCTTCGTTGTACCAGCCAAACGGGCAGTGACCGGTGAACGGGTCTGACTGGGTCTGACTGGGCCCACAGTGGGGCACCAAAAAAGAACACATTTGCAAAGCCATCCGAAACTTGGTTTTACGATGTTTTACTCATGCCGTCCTGTTTGGTATGATCTCAATCTTCTCAATCTCAGTTCTGAAGAAGTCCACCGGGATGTCGAAGTTTCGTGTTTTTTCTCGGAGGAGGGGGCTGCGACCGATCAAATCTCCTGAGCGTCAGCGTCAGGTGAACCTTCGTACGGGAGTGTGCTTCAGCGGGGGTGGCTCTCGCGCTTTGACGGTCACGATGGGTGTTTTGAGGGCCTTGGAAAGCTTGAAGCTCATTCCACACATTGACGCGATCTCGAGCGTGTCTGGTGGAACTTGGGCCTCGTCCATCTACATGTTCGCCAAAGATGTCAGTATCAAGGACGCAACGCTTCAAACTGCATTCGGGTGCAGAGATTCTGATGCTTAATACTAATAATTTACTAATATTGTTTAATCAACATTTGGGACGACAATGGCAGTCTCCGTTGTGTTCAGTTGGATTGTGCCAGGATTTACTTGGCGAAGATACAACTCCGAATGAATTGACCATGGAGAAGTTGTTTCGAAAGCCTGCAAGACTTGGCGCCAGAAACTCAGCGATTCCTTAACGCATTCCGCGACACACTCCCCCGTGCTTGCCTTTGCGTGTTTGGTGTCTTCCAGGATGTTGCGACCACCAGCATCACATCACTTTTGTTGAGCAAGGCATCTTGGCAAATCTTGGCAGAGTTGCACAGTTCAGGCTAAGTATTTAGATGTTTTATGTGTTCTTTTGCTTTATTTCGCATGTTGAATGCAGGTTGTATGTGCTTCGCAGCGTTAGAAAAACCTGCGATTCACACTCGTCTCCCGCGTCTTTGGGTCCGTTTCGCCGTCATGACGTTCCGTGTCTGAAACTTCCAACCGGGCCACTGGCGACGGAACGTGAAAACCGTCCTTCCAGGTCATGACGTTGAATGGAGGAAGCAATCCGCATGACCTGTGGATCGAAAGCTATGCGAAAACCGTCTTGGAGCCCTTCGGATTGGCCAACAGGAGCCGAAGAGATGAGAGATGAAACGAGAACCCAAACGAGAGTCACCTTTGGGCATCATGAGACATCCCCAAAAAAAACCGAAAAAGAAGAAGACATACCCCTTTCATCCTGTTGCCGTTCCATGAAATTCCCCACACCTTCAATGAAGAGGTTGGCTAACCAACATTCTCAGTCAGATTGAGTGTATTCATGCCAAGACATGTTTCTACTCATTATGTTCGTCTTTGAGTGGCCTGCTTGGTGCTCCGTTTTGGCCGTTGTTTCGTCTGGACGGCTTTTCGCTTCATGCCGGCGCCGGCCTTTCCGCGGCGCGGGGCCCGCCGTCGCGTCGCGGGAAGGAGTCAATTCATGGCAGCGAATGAAGAAAGTCTTCGAAGCATTCTGCAACGAAATCCAAGCCTTCAGCGAGAACAATTTCAAGTTGAGAGCTTGGACGTGGAGGATAAAACAAACATAAAACACATCGTCTATGCATTCTTTATCCATATTATTTAGCATGTTATCATTTGTTGTATAAACCGAGTGCGTCCCCAAAGGTTCCGAACCCTTTGCGTCCTAAGACGTGGTGGCCTCGGACGTCTTCCATGTGGGTTTGAAGATGGAGAACTGCAGCTCTACCTTGCTCAATTCATCTCACGACTCCATTCCTTGGCAACTGTATTTGTCAAGATCCGAATTTAGAGTATTGTGTGTGCCAGACTTGCAAGGAAAGGTTCCTCTAATACTGAGGTTCATCATGGGTGGTACTTTGCTGGCCCCAGTCGGCCTGGTTGCAACTGAAACCAGCGCTGTGTTACTCGATTGCACCATTGCTCTGACACTTTGCACCGCTAAAAGATGCCTCGATAAGTCACTGAGGTCACTGCAAATGTCGCCAGACTTCACGGGCTCGCCATTCTATCCGAAGGAATCCAAGTTGCTATCATGGTCTCAAGGGTTTGCAACTTCATCCCGAACATGATGTTCTTCCATACTCCGAAGTTCGACGTGTCGTCGAGCAAGTTCGCAGGATAGCCTTGTGCATTACAAGGGGGGCCAGTCTGACAGAGAATTTCTGGTTGGCGGCGGCTTTGTTGACCTTCTCTTAGTTCATGCGGTTTGGTTCAACAAGTCATAACGACATGAATGGCAGTCAAAATGTTCATCTCACAAATATCTCAATCCTGTCAAAAGTCGTTTTAAAGATCATGCAGCAGTTCTTTCTGAGGAAAGCTTTGCCTTCGGCGGTTCATCGCCTTTGTCGGTCTGCTACTCACTTTGTTGAATGCGTGAAAGCAACCAAGTTGGATCAGGTTATATCAGATCACATCAATCCTGAGTGATCATTTCCATCTATTTGTCAGTTGACATCATATCATCCAATCAGTGGCAAGATCATGTCATTTCGCGAATTTCACGAGCATCAGTCTGCGAGCTTCCTTTGGCTTCAGTCCTTTCTACGAGGCCCAGGGGCAAATGGGAGGAGATGCAGTTGAGATGGAGGCCGCGGAACGTGGCAAGCGGTCGACATGTGTTCGTTTTCATCAGGCTGTCCTGGATGGTTCGATTGGCAGAAGGATGGTTCGATTGGCAGAAGGGATCCTGCAACATGGCGAAAGGGCCATGTTGGAAAAGGCTGATGATCTGAATAGAGCACAAATCAACAGTACTGAGTCCTTTTGGGCAAGGAGCCTGGTTGCTCAAGTACCAAGCATCCAAGCAAACCTCACAAGGAAGAAGAAGAAGCAGCAGATTGCCAGGACAAAACTAGAGTTCCTGACAGCAGAACGGCCGTTGGGAGACAGATTCTAGAGCTGGTACATGGAATCAATCCTGCTGGAACCTTCCTGCACATGTTCCAGAACATTTCTCGAGCTTCTCTTCTTGAAATCTTTCTCAAGCCTGCTGGAAGCTGGCTTCCACACCCTCATGAAACCTTGCTGACAGCTGGAACCGGTTTGGTTTCTTTGCTGGCTTTGTTTGCTCTGCCGACCGCTGGTGTGTGTTTTCCGTTTTTACTTTTTTGGGCATTTTTGGGGCCTGCCGCTTTTCCCGCCATGCTGGGAGAGAGTTTTTTGTACATCTTCTTGACGAAGCAAGGCTTTGTGCTCAGCCTTGATGGAACGTGTTTGGCCTCCTCAAAGCTCGAATCCGCCCGCTGCCACCGTGCCTTTGCAAATTTTGGATTTTAGTTTGGCCCAGAATCCTGGTAGCTCAGCTCCAGCTTTGGTTCCGATGAGAACTTTATTTCTGGAGTGTTATTAAGTTTCTTGGAAAAGAATAAGAAAAGATGCGCTGTGGTGCACGCATGCCAGCCACTGGCAAGATACATGCGCGTGTGAGAGTTGTGAAAAGAGCGTAAAGAGCGTTTCAAGAGAAGAGATAAGAAAGACAAAAGCTGCGGCGTTCAGTAAGCCCAAAAGCACAATTTAAGGCATTCAGCTGGGAGAAGAATTGCACTGTACATGGGTGTGTAGCTTGAAAGGGAGACTCCAACCAATGGGGTTTGGTCCATTTTCCTTCTTCAAGGGGGTCGAAGGAGGTCTTCCTACTTTAATGCACGCCCACAGTGCGGGCCCTTCGACTTGTCAGCAACAAAAAGAATTGAAGAACTCCTTGCGTAGTGGGTCATGGTAGATCGATTGCTTCTCACATCCTTCAGAAAACAAAGGCTTGGAAGGACAAACATGTTGAAGGTCAATGGTCGAAGGATCTGATGGGGGTCCTGTTTCCAACCGCCTTGGGGTCCGTACACTTAACACAGAACACGCAATAATCTTCTGACCCGAACGCGGAAAAGTCGGAAAGAGGACACTGCAGGATTGAAATGCACATAATGATCCATGATGCATGTGATATTCATTCATGTTCCATGTTTGTCCCGACTTTCAATGAGCAATTCGCGCATTTGTCCGAGCTTTGGTCGATTTGCTTGGTCGAGGCGCCTCCAACATCCTTCAGCCTTGCCGATGCGATTGGCATCAGCAGCGCTGCATTTGCGTCGGTGCTGGTGAGTGTGCCTGCACTGAAGAAGGGTTCACAGGAATGGATCAAAACCCTCAAAATCATTGTAGCTGGATGGCTGGATGTAGGTGAACTCAATATGTGCAGTCCATGGACTGCTCATTTTGCAGGGTCAACAGGGCTTTGACTCATCCCTTTATGAGTGTTGTCACGGGCAATCAATCTATCTACAAGCTTGCGATGCACACATCAAAGGCTGGCTGGCTCACGAGTGCAGCCTCCTTTTTCATTGGGCATCAGGCCACCTGCATATTTTGAGAGCCTTTGATCACCATGACGAGACAGACAGCCATGTCACGTTGGAACCTTGCCGGCGCTTGCGAGGCGGAAGAGTATTTGCCTGTGAAGGACGTGTGGCCAGTGACTTCTGAAAGGTTCAGTGCCTGGAGGCAAAAACAGAAGACTGCTTGAAGGCAAAACACAGGTGTTTGAGCGCGTGTCACGCATGACATTTGCATTTGCCGGAGTGGGGGCAGAGCCCAGAGCTGCTTGGAAGGTCTGCGCTGAAGTATCAACTTGGGGCCAGCACACTCAGTAAATTGGTGCATGAATACCAACACTTGAACCTGCGAGATTGTAAGACAGGAATTTTTGGCAGCCCTGAATTTCACATCATTTCGTGTATAGAAATCCTCAAGGATGGTGCCGAAGTTGACAACACTGGCATGACTCCTGGCAGCATCGAGAGACAAACCAAAACAGTGTGAACGTCACCGGACATGCTCCATCCGAGTCTGGCTGGAAACTTGAAGACTTCAGGATGCCTCTTCTTCAGAGGAAAGTGTCAAAGATTCTTGTGGTCGACAGCACCAACGTGGAATTGTCAGAGGCATTGATGTGTTTTTTTGCTGTCGACTTCGAGATCACGCTGCAAATAGATTAATTATACTAGGTTGTACCGTTTGTTATACCGGATAATTTGGGACAGTTTTATTTCATGTTAAGATGAGTTGTACCAATGTGGCACGGTGTTTTTTCATGTCTCTGTCTTTTCTCCAATTGTGAGCGAACAACATGGCAACATGAAGTCTCAACGAGGACATCGACTTTTGTACAGCCAACGTCCTCGGCCTCTCTCTCAAAGGAAAGGCCAGTGGAAGCCACCTGACTTTGCAAGCTTCGCACATCTTGACAACAGAACTGCCTCAAGTCAAGTTTCCGAACAAGAATTTGGATGCTGCTTCCATTTGCGCCCGTCAGGTGTCCAATGATTTGCTTGATAAGTTTGGATATGCGGCTGAAAATCCGGGCGAATACCTCATCTACAACCAGGCCGCATCGTGTGACACAATCGCATCGTTTGACACGATGGAGTCACGCGTCTCTTTTGGCGGAGGTGTTTCATGCAGATGAGCTGCAGCCGTTGCTTTGTGAGTTTCAGAGCCCTGGCATGCCGAAAGGAAACCAACACTTGCTTAGTTTGATGACAACAAAAACCATGCCAAGTTCAATCTGGCTGTCTCACGATGATTCCAATTGCCCAGTGGAATGGGTGGTTTTGCTCTTAAATCCCTCAAGCATGACCCGCAGAAACGGGCGTTGGGTGCAATGGAGGCTGTTTTGCTCCGGCAGATAGCCTTGACCCAATCTTCAATGCAGTGTTTCATGTTCAATGTATGGCTGAACATTCAAGTTTGTTCAATTGAAACTGGTTGTCATTGGTTGTCCACAAGCGCTAAGCAGGACCGAGTGTTATACACCATTGAAAAACACACAAAAAAAGACACCGAAACCATGGCCAGAAGTCGCATTGCGTGGGGCCAAAAGTTGCGTGCCTTGTTTGCCATTTTTCTTGCAAAACCATCGGACTACTCATGGGTTCGTTCAGGAAGAAACGGATGGCGAGCGACGCCATGGTGGTCCAGCGAGACTTGGAGGCGGGGCACGGCGGTTCGGTGGCGACGCCTTGGTTGGTGGAGGCGGTTTCGGCTCTTATCTATCGGGAGCCCATTTTGGTTCACATGTAAAAGGAAAATGAACTTATTTGGAGATGTTGTGTGGGTGTTGCGGTATCGACTCCCCAACAGCAATGTTCTTCTCCTTGTGGTTCATTCGCTATCCAATTCTATCCAGCCTTGCCCAACATCCCTTCAGGTGCTTGCCAACAGCAAGTGGGGTATTGAAGGCAACTGGAGAGTGTTGCTTGGCACGAGGCAGAGGATACCCCACATTAAATCACCCATCTCAACTTCATAAAAACTGCTGCTTGTAGAGGTTTCATGAGATTTTGATGCCTTCAAAAATTGATGCAGAAGATGCACTTGATCCATCATCAGCCTCTTTCAACACACCACCAGCAGCTCAGGTCTGTGGTCTTTGCCTACTTGAGCAGCCCACGGCGCTTTACCGTAAACCTTCCGCCCGAGACTCTACAGGCCCTAAGACTCACTCTACTTCGGCGGGGGAAACGGTCCAGTTGAAGCGGAATTGACCGCAGGAGGTCGAGAAGGGCAGTTTGGGACCGAGCGACCAAGAGCGACAAGCGAAGAGTCAAGACACGGTTTCGTTGGACGTCTTGGGACGCACTTGGAGCCGTACCTTGGAGCTATGCACTTGTTCCTAGTAGCTTCTTGTTACTACTAGTAAGGCACTTGTTACTACTAGCGTGGCACTTGTTCCTAGGTTCGGGTAAATTTGCCAACTGGCCGCATTTTAAAACGTGGCAGCCTCAGAGCAGTGGGTGATGCCAATGCTCGTATCGAATGGAGTGTGCTTCAAAGCGTTCAAGGTCATCCCAGAACGGGCCCACTAAGTTCACATCCTACACACGAGAACAGGTGCAGGATGGTCGAAAATCAATGTTGTTCTTCAGCAATTGTCACAATTGCAGGTCAACCTTCTTGCTGCACTCGGAGAGTATATGGTTCGTGCCCCGCTGGCAATTCAGGACGTTTGGAGTGTCAGAAACTTGCAGTGCTTGGAAGAGCCAAGCAGCCAAGGTTCAAACACTGATTTGTTTATGCGGTTCTTTCTTTGAGATGCCAAAAGTGCATTCAAAAAGTGCTGCAGTGTGCTTTGCAGTGTACTTTGCAAAGTGAAAGTTTGAAAGAGCTTGGTGCAACATACACTGAGTGTCCGCAGCTTGACTCACGCCAAACTCCAACTGATTGCAACAGCAGCTTGATAATTCTTGTGAATAGCGGAAGTTTGCTGTTGACTCCTCACTACTCTGTTTTGAAAAGTAGCACTCATAATTGTAAGCAAATTGTGTGTGTATGTGTGCTTTGCTGTTTATGCTAATCCCAACTAATCACGCAAGTTCTTTCAGGGTTCCATGTGGCTCCTTTGCGTCTTGCTTCTGCCTTTCAGCGAAGCCCTGGAAGCGCCGGAAGCTTTGGCACTTCAATTGGACGAATGTGATGGAAGCGAGGAAAACAGGGAAGCTTCAGGAACCTGTGAGGCTTCATGGTTGCAGCAGCGGGCTCTGTACCGAGATGTCTCTGCGCCACCCCAAAACGGCGTTGTTCCGGGTGCAGACATGGCACAGACCGCAGTCAATGAGTCAAGCGGCTTTTGCGACAGCCACACCGACGGCACGTGCAAATACTTCAGCTGCAGTTCTTCAAGAGGACCAACGCAATGTGTCCAAGGACAATGCCGGTGTCAGCCAGGATATTGTGCTATTGGAAGTAAATGCGTTCTGAATGTCCACCAGCAGAACTTGCTGCAGTGCCCCCAACGAACCGGTGGCACCTGCAGCTGGTTTGGCTATTGCTACAACTTTCGTGGACCAACTCGCTGTGTGAATGGGGAGTGCTTGTGCCAACCAGGCTCCTTGCCGATCTTGGACGTCACCCAATTACAGCTCCAGAACTGGCGAAGCAAACCAAAGACCTTTTTTGGCAAGGGTTTTTGTCAAATTCCCCTCTGGGAATTGAGCAGTTCGAGTCTGGTTCGGGCAGGTATAGCTTTCTTATTTTGAGGCTACAGGCTACAACTGTTCATGAAAAGAGAGTGCCGACGTTCAGCTCTAGGTGGTCCGCCAAGAACTGTTCAACATCCCAGGCTTGACTGCTTCGGGCTTCTTCAGAAGTAGAATGATCTAGTATGTTTTCGTGCGGAGAAGCGTTGAGTCCCTGGATATCCCTGGTGCAATCAGCATGTTCGTTCTGTACACATCCAAAGCAAGAAAACAATTTATGGGGGAGACCAAGAATAGAAGCTTTATGCCTGAACTTTGATTAAGGTGTCAAGTTTGATAATACTGACTATTGCAAGACGCAATAAAGGCAATGCAGGAGATGTGTCATCAAACTGCACTTGGTGCAATACGTTGCAGCCCTCCAAATATGGTGCATCGGCATGCATTGGCTAAGGCTATTGTTCGGATGATGACGGCAAATGTCATAAGAAGCTACCTGACGTCAAAGCAGATGTGGTCCCCATCAATGACCAGATCAGAACGTTCCCACCACGCCAGGACCTGCACATCCTGCGTGTTGTTTTTGTTGAAACGACATCACACGATATGAGGTCCCGCAAGCTTCTGCAAGTAGTCCAGACTTCGGAGAGTTTTTGTAAGACTCTTGTCACATGCAACGCCGTCATGTACTACATGTTTGTTGAGCTGGTTTTGCCAGTGCTTTGCCTCAGGAGCAGCTACAGACAGCTGTTGCTTTAAGTGGTGGAGGCACCAGAGCAATGGTGGCAGCGATTGGAGCTCTTCGTGGGATGGAAGAGCTACAGTTGATGAGCCACGTCGATTTGTTGGTTTCGGTCTCCGGGGGCAGTTGGACGGCTGGACCCTACATGCCCCCGAGCGGCAAGCGTGCTCCTTTTCTTTTTGGTTGGGACCGAGAGCTTGGTTCTTGTGCGGACCTCTTTTTGGAAGTAGAGGAATTAATGGGAACATGCAAGAGAAAGCAACAGTCAGACTTGAGTGAGAAAAGGAACCCAAGCGAAGACTGCGAAGACCAAGTGAAGACGATGATGAATTAGACACTTTAAAACCATTTAAACCAAGAGGGATCCGATGTTTGTTTTCCATCCAACGACCGCCACTGATGGTCACTCAGGTTCGCTCACATGAGTGACAAGGAACTCTTGGGATCGCGCACCAAGCCGTCCGAGCTCTCCTTGCCGGACCGCGCGCGGTTCGCCGAGCGCTTCTTCATGATACTTCTTTGCTGTGGAGAAGGGAACAAGCGACTTGAAGGATTTAGGATGAAAACGAAGAAGCATATATCATATCTTATATATATATTATATAATGTTCACATCGCAAGAATAAACCTACCCCCTGATGTGAAAGGCAAACATTGGGTAATACGATTGTGAGAGCCACAGCCCACCACTGCTTCGCCATTCGGATCCCATGGGTTGGTTCATCGATTCGCCAGGAGCTGACCAAACGACCCGGTGCCATTGGCGCCACCGCCTCAGACGGTTCCAAGCAACCGAGTGGTTGGCCACCGAGTGGTTTGTCCTGAGGAGTCCGCCACGCACGATATCACCGGAGACTTGGTTTCAAGTTGGGACGTATCAGCCATGCATCTCAAGTGTTGAGCATAACGTCTACAGAATTCTATAGACGACTAGTTCGCTACCAGGAGCAAGGGCATCGCTTCTAGGAGCAAGGATGCTACTAGGGGCTCCTGGCCGTACTACTAGGAGCAAGGACGCTACGAACGGAGCAAGGGCATCGCTTCCGATGTCCACAACATATTTTTGGTTCAGAGTCACCGTCCCACTGCTTGGCCCAGATCTCTTGAAACAAGCCTTCTTCAACCATGATGACCCACATGGAATTTGGGTCAACACCTTCAACAAGGCTTGGTCACGTTGAGCTCGAGGTCTTGTTGACCCAAGCCTCTCTGTCTAAAACAGATCTTGTTGGAGCCGCTGGGCCTGGGCAACACCAGCAAGTGCGCTCCTTCTCGACGCGCGCGGGACCTCGGCGGTCGTCGCGCGGATCTTGTTGGAGCTGTGGATGTTTCAAGGTACATGGCTTCTGATGAGCAGAGCCTGCAGCGAATTCTTCAAAATAATCCTCACTTGCGAAGAGAGGAACTGCATTGAGACTGCCAAGTAAGCAAGAGACGCTAACTATATCTAAGACTGCTTGTACACTATACACGAGATGAGGCCAAACGACTATGTGACTATGCCCCTCTGCATGGATGTGTGTTCTTCCCTTTACCGGAGCAGTGGACACATTCTGTTTCTTCTGCCAAGAAGCGCCCACTGGTTTTCTACTTCAGCGGGTTCTGCAAACCGGTGAGGACTTCATTCTACCTCCAATAGATCGACCAAGAGCATTCGTCATGTTGCTTGCTGAGCACATGGCCTCTCTCACATGGTGCTCAGCACCGGCACCACTCCGTGACGGCTGTCCTGCTTGCCTCAAGGCTTGGCGTATTGCTTGCTCCCCTTGGTCATGAATCGGAAGACGACACAGTGGTGTTGGGTGCTCAGGAAGACGAGACGGATTCTTTTTGGCGCCCCCTTTTTGCTTTGACAAAGACTTGAGGTCATTGCAGATGTCGCCGGACTTCTCAGGTTCTCCATTCTATCCTGGAGGCGTGAGCTTTTTGCTGCAAAAGAGCAAAAGAGCAACCCTATCAGACTGCTGTTCACCCAGAGGCCACGGCAACATCAAGTACGACGAGGAATCCACGAATTGGTTCACACGGGCCGATATTCCGGCGCTGAAGATGGTGGATCCCTTACCTGTCGGAGGGATGAGAAACACGAAAAATTAATGTATCGACATATTTATAAGTCTGGAATGCGCAGCGCTGCTTGGCTACACGGTTCCCATGTTTCAGGTCATTGGTGGTGGCATGGTGGAGACTTTCGCCTTTGGAGGCGACACACCCTACGACCAGAGTGGCCAGTCCGGAGGAGACCGGCGCCGTTGGGACCGCAGAGACCGACACCGACCGGGCCAGTCCGTCCGGGATGGAGCTGTGTCGATCGTGACATGTGACGACCGACAACTACAGAGACCTAGCAATGTCATTTATAATCATTTATATACAGTATATATATATATGTATTGAGGTGTTTTTCCAAATCTGTTTCTTCAGGCCATCGTCAGATTTAATTCTTTTTGCTTTCATGGTTTGTTCTTTTGGGGTTACTAATCTCGTGTGTCCAACTTCCGATCGCGCCAGCCATGAACTCACAAAATCAACATCAATGACAACCCACAATGATGATATCGGTCATGGCTCGACAGCCAACGCACTGTCAACAGCAAGGACATATCCCAAAGGCAAGACCAACGACAGGTCGGAACGACGGCAATGACACGCTGACAACAGCCACACGACAAGCCGCGCCAAAGCAGCAATAACCAGCAACTTTCACGAGCGCAGCAACAGCATTAGTAGCAAACCAAACTGGCTCCGTGCAGTGCTGTTCTCTCTTCATCTGCTCAACGGTGAGGCCCAGTGGTCCTTGTTTGCCTCCATTCGGGTAGTCTATGGTCCAAAGTGCTGGCTAGCCTTTGCTGCTTTGTGCAGCTGCCGACACTTTCCATACAAGCGCAGCTCTTGGTCGCCTGGAACTCTGCCTGAACAGCTTGCGGTCGCGAAGGAATCCTCCGAAAGTCAGCATGGAAGTCCCAAAGTCACAGGGGACCCCTGCAGGACATGGAGTGAAGATGCCATCGCCCTCGGAGCCCTTGAGCCTCGCTAAGGCGGTTTCAGATGCCATCACTCACTTGGTGGGTTCAGGTTGAAGCAAGGCCTATAGCTACATCCCAAAAGGAGCAATGAGCAATGGGCCTACATCCTACATCGACCTACCTAGATAGAAGCCACATCCCCAAGGCATCCAATTGCTTCATGTTCCGCTTTGAAGATGAAGAACTGGGCACTCACAGTCGCTCTGTGTCGAGGCCATTGGAGTGAGTAGCGCAGCCTTCACTGCGATGATCTCTCAAGCGCTCAACAACTTCGGAGGACAAACCATGCAGGCCAGGCAGATGAAGTGTTTCATCTCATGGAAGCGAAAGATTGCCGAACGATCTTGTTTCCATGTTTTTTCTCCGAACACGTGGGGTTTGGAGGCGTTGATCCCAGTCACCACTATGTGGCCCATCACTTCAAGAACACAACCTGGCCCCAAGGCCTGCTTGTTTGTACTGTGGGTGTTTTTTCATTTGTTTGTGTGTATTCTGTGGGCTTTTCAATATGTTTTATGTTCATTTCATACGCAATTGTTTGAGGCTGCAGCCAAGTTTAAGATTGGAGATGGTGGACACATGGATAACTCTGGCTTATTGCCAATTCTGCAGCGCAAGGTGGGATATGCCAAATGCCGCCGTTTGGATCTGACACCGCAAACTGTTTGAGGTACCAAAGGTGGTGATGTTCGTCAACACAGACATCCCAATCAGCTTAAAGTCGGACCGCTGACTGGTGAGACGCCTTAACCTACTAGCAATGGCCTCCAACCTAATAGCGATGGCCGCTTCGGCAGTTGTATCGCATACCCTGTATTGGCGGCTTCGGGTCTTGCAGGATTTTTGTGGATCCAGAAGAATGTTTGCTGCTTAGATCGTTGAACGACTAAACAATGTCTGCACAGAATGTTTTTCAGCGAGGATGTGTGTTTGTGTCTTTCTCCTGGCACGGCCTTTTTGAGTCAGGACATCCCCAGAGCTGAACAGCGCAGCTGCAAGCTCAGTGCACTGATGCAGCTGAGAAACTGAGCGGTAGCAGAAAGATGCAAGATTTGGGAGCGGTAGCAGAGCACAGTACATCAATGTATTTGGCTGCATGTGCACAGACACCCTAGAAAGAAGGCCGAAGCCCCATTTAAGTTATGCAACTGCAGAGGAGAGTTTCGTGCTTGATATTTTGACAAGGCCACTTGGTACTTTGTTGACAAGTTTGGCTTGGCAGCTCACATGAAGGGGCAATTTCAGATGCACAATCAGGCAAGCAAATGCGTAGTCAAGTTGCTGATCCTTGCGGGCAGCTCTACGCAGGTCTTTCACTTTGCAGATCTACAGCCGATGCTTTGTGACTTGCAAACCCACAGGTGCAAGACATCACGAGTCTACATGACAATAGCTCACTCTTCAAATGCTTGATCATTCTTGAGATGAATGATGACTATCACGCTATAAGGTCTAAGTCTCTTTCTCTCTATATATATATATGTATATGGTGACTCAAAGATCATGCATTATCATGCACCCAACACTTAGCTGCAATTGTCTCGCAGATTTGATCACTTTCATCTGTCTTTAGAAGCGACCGACCTCTCGTGACTCACCAGGCGTGCCGGCAGGCCCGCCGCGGCTCTTCGCAAGCTGGAGGTGTTGAAGAACAGTTGGTGCAGGTCTCAGGTCGATGCCGACGATGCCAACGGCGGACGAGTCAATTGTTTGTTTTTCTGTGACTGGATGGTAGAAGCAACGACACTAGTTCATTCTGCCAGGTGGTGGAGAGTTGGTAAAAGATTGTAAAAGCCGTGAACTCTTCGTGCACATTGGCATGAGGTGGGGCATTGAAGGAGGCTCGACTGATGCTTTTGGCCGCGCATCTTTCAGCCGTTTCCTTTCAGCATCTTTCAGCCTTTCTGTTTCGTTTGCAGGTTGGACTGTCGAGCTGCTGGTCATCTACATGGACAAGACCCGACTTTTTGAGCGTCGCCTTCCGGAAGACACCCGTAAGGCGCACCGGACCGTGCTCGAGCCGGTCGAGCCTGTCGAGCGGGCTCCAGTTTCGTTGCATGGACCGCGTGTGTGTTGCTTTGGGCTGAAAAAGACAGGAGATCAAAGCTGGCAAAGATGGGATGTTTGTGCCCTGATCGCAGAAATGGCCAATGCAATGAAGCCACAGAGATCAATGAAGCCACAAAACAGAAATTGAACAATCACGAGTTATGAACAAAATCAATGGTCATAGGAACTTCTTGGGGATGGTGAGCAGGTCGGCCCGCCTGCCCCCTTTTTTCCAAAACATCAATTGACCGATCGTCAGGCTTCACTATCGCATCGGTGTTTTAGATTCTAGATCATGATTTACTTTAAAATCACATGATGCCAGCCGAGGCGAATTTTCCACACTTCCCTTTGATGCAACAGAACCCCGGATCCCTGACCTCTTTCACCAGTGCACAGGCGAGGGCATCCATTCGCTCTTTAGCCTTGTGGAAAGCGCTTGACTGTTCATGTAGTCCAGGGCTAGTCCCGTGCAAGGTCAATTTGCTGTCCGCTCAAGTAGAGCGTCAAAGCTGCAGTTGGATGAAGAGAAACACGAGAAAACGATGCAGGAAGGAAGACCCAAAACAAGAAATGAAGACTGTCAGCCAAAAAGAATGTTTTGTCTAGTTTTGTCTTGTGTTCATTGCTTTTAGATAGAGTTCGATGAGTTCGGTTCTCCTTTGCAAATCCTTTGCAAATTATGCAAAAGGATTTGGAATCGAACTGCTCAAGGAACTTTGCCGTGGGAAGTTCTTTGTTGTTGCTAAGCGATGAGCCAGCCGAACCCGGAATTCAAGAGGGGGGGGATGGTCCAATTGTCTCACGGTTCAGCAACAGAAAAGTCACAAAAGGGACCTGGACCTTCCAATGTCTCCTCTAAGCGGTCCGTGTCTAAACTCGTCTAAACGGTCCGTACGTCGGTCGGTGAGTGGTCCAAAGCGTCCATCTTCGTGAGAAGCATCACCAGAAGCCCGGTAGAACAGCCCGGTCCAGGGATCCGGACGGAGTGACCTGCTGATCCCACTAGGGTGAAGACTGGGACATGTCAGTCAAGGTGAAGAACTGGCACACCTTCCAGTTACATCCAGTTACCTTCCAATGTGTCATGTGTTTCTTCCCGCAAACTTGAACTCTGAGGTTTTCCGTTCGAAAGCATGCAGGCCTTTTGCGGGAGGTCCTACAAGGTGCTGAGAGTCACAGAAGATGGGCATCATTTTGGATGGACTGACCGGGAAAGTCAAGCCATGTCAAGCCTTTGTCGTTTTTGTGTTGATTTTCCTTTCGACATGTTGGATTAGAGGTATTCCCCGCAACCCAGAAGAGCCTGAAGAGAGTGACGGGTGCAAGACTTAATTGCAAGAAGATCAAGAAGCATCTCATTGCAATCAAGTTTAAGATGTCCTGTGGTTTGGCCGCTCCCAATGTGAAGAGTCAACTTCGGTGTACAGTAAGGTTCGAGGATTTGAATCCAAATGAAAGACGAGAAGGCATCAGCAAAACATGAAAGCACAAACTTCTCATGGTGCTTTTTTCAATCTAAATGGATCTTGCAAAGAGTGGTGTGAAAATGTTGTGGCCGCCTTGCGGATTGTCCTGCAGATTCATCCAACACGGCGATGGCTGGTTGGGAAGGCGCACGGTGAGCATCCCAGAGCTGAGATGGGTGATTTGTCTTCTCACGGAGCTTTCAAAAGGCTCAACACTTCAAAGCGGTCAAGAGAACCAGCTACATCTGTAGTTTTTGTGGACATGCATCAGAGTTTTACAACTGATGCACCTACCAAGAATCTGCATTCTGTACAGAGGGTTGCATGTTTGCCTAAAAAGACACCCAGAAAATGGCGGGAGTGGGGCTGAATCCTTTGACTCGTGTTGCTCTCGTTCTTTGCCTTCTTTGTAGAACCTGGCACATGCGGCCATTTGCAGCTGAAAAATTTCCGGATCGCCATGACTGAGCTTGTCAGCTACCTAGGCGTGAGAATCATGCCTCCTCAAGCCTAGCTTGGAAGAACTGGAATCCTTTGCTACTCAGCGATTTTCCACTGAGGCATTTGCCAGTCCTGCACTTCGTGGTGCGAGCATAGGAGCTCAGGCTCGGCTCGAAAATACTGGAGTGATCCCAGAGCTCCCCCTGTTGCCTGAGGCACAAACCTTGCCAAAGGAAGGTCAGAGCCTTTGGGCCTTTGCTTCCTGGGGGGGGAGGAGCAAGGACGCTACTAGGGGCTCCTGGCCATACTACTAGCAACAAGAAGCTACTAGGGGCTCCTGGCCTTACTACTAGGAACAAGAAAGCTACTAGGGTCTCCGTACCAAGGGGCTTTGTCGACCAGTTGGCAGCCGCTGGCAAACCTCGCAACAGCTTCTGCAGCAAGCTCAGATGATAGAATTGAAAACAAACAAACGGTCGTCATCCCCCAATTGAAAAATGTGTGCTTGTTCTGTCTAAGACGAGAACATTTTTTTTGCAAATGTGCTATTCTTTTTCAAGAACAAGGACAGATCTTGCCATGGTGCTATGTTTCAGCCTGGGCAGGTCTTTTTAGGTGCTCTTGGAGCTGCACACTCAAGGACAGAATCCGACCGCATGAATGCCCGATGATTCACAAGACTGTTGTCACGAAGATTCGCTATTTATTAGATGGGCATGAGGGTACGTCTTTAGGTGACCACCAGCAAAGTACGTGAAGACTTGGGAAGCATTGGTGGTATTGCCAAAGGCAAGCAAATAGAACAACATGTTTCAGGAAAACCAGACCAAAGATAAGTGAAGGTGAATGAAAGTCAAGCCATTTGAGGTTGATAATTGCTGGAAGCATGCTTTGTTCAGATGCTTCAAGGTGCTTTAAGATGTTTGTATCTTTCTTCATGTGACTCAATACATTTGCTGATTGTACTACTTCCACAGGTCTTTTTGTGTGCACTCCTCTGAAGTCACTTCTGTTTGCTCAATTTGACATTTAATTAGTTTCTATGGTGTCAAACAGAAGGTCAGCAAAAACCCAGCACCAATCAAGAGAAAACTGCTTGGAACAAACAGCCTGACAGACAGTGCGCACACCGTTGGATTCAGGGGGGCCATGCTCGGCCAGTCCACCAGTCCCGCGAACGACCCGGTCAACTGGTAGGTCCAACCGGTAGGGCCATGACCACCGTCAGATGTTGTGAGCACAAGAAGACCGTTCTTTCTACACTGAAAGGTGCGGTTTTCACATGAGTACGGCTACAGCTTCCTTGGGGTGGGGGCAGTGAAGACCAGAAGTCAAATGCCCCACTCAGCCAGTGATTGGAAATGGCAAGACTACGCCTACAAAACCTATTTTATGAGCAATACGAATTGAAAAGACATCTCTCTCTTTTTTGCAGGCCCAGACGGCACACCTGCCTTTTTTGAGGGGTGGATTGTGGAATTTGGGTCAAGCTTGCTCATTGCGAGGAGACGAACGCGCAATGCGCTTCGAGATGTTGTGAAGGCCACAACTGCCATGTTTTGGCATGAGCAACTCAGAGATTGCTGTGTGTTTCTCATGTTTTTTGAAGTGCAGCTGCATAGCTTTAGCATAGTTTTTCATTGGAGTGCCCATATGAGCCCATCACCCAATGCGCTTGCGTGCATGTTCTCAAAAAGCCTGATTAAGCATGGCATAAAGATGCATAAAGGCCTCCAGAGCATGGACTCATCACACATGCACGGCACACAGCTGTTCATTCTAGCTGAACGTATCTCGGCTTAGTGCACATGCTGGCTATTGTTCAAGCATGCTTTTTGATGACTTTGCACTGACTGAGTTGCCATGGTGCGCCAATCGAGATGGGCGGTTTGAAGCAGAACTGTCATGGCAAGCCCTGGTATACTCAATTTCTTAGATCTACCACCCGAAGAAGAGCCAGCATCCAAGGATTCTCAACATGGGTCGTCCAAGACGCCCAAAAAGTCGTCCCTGGCCGCCGAGTTCTTGCCGATGCTAAGCACGGAAGGACTGGAGTCCGATTCCGGCGACGACCTGCTGAGCGCTCCGGAGAGATATCAAGATGTTCTGGCCATGGCCTGTGAACCACCTCCTCAGGCTTTCCCTGGAGTTCCCACGCATGTGATCCTTCGGGTTCTGAAAATCAGCGGCTTGCCGATGGACGTGAAAGGGAAAGGAATCCCTGGACGTGAAAGTCTGGGATTTTTCCTGGAGGAGAAGGATCCTTTGCAGAGGAGCACTGTTGCTTGCAAGATGATTGGTTTGTTGATGTGTGTTACTGTTTGTTGTGGTTCTTCCACTTGATTTGTCATATTGATATTACTTTCTTTCTTTAGGCTTCAGTGGCGGTATTACCCTCGGGCGAGTTCAGGCCTCCTGGCAGGCTGGGCATGTCTGCTGTTTTTGGTGCTTAAGTTTGGTGATAGAGATTCTCACATGGGCGACCCGGTGGTCCACCCGCTCATTGGTTGGGTTAGGTTCGGTGGTCTTCCGAACCTTCCAATACGACAAGTTACGTCATGCTTTGATGTGCACCGAACCTTTAGATCAGTCAAGGCATCGGTGCGCAGAACCTCGAGTGACTCCGAAGCTAGCGCTTCGGGAGAAATGGGAGGCCTGGCTCTCGCAGATGTGTTTGCAATGGCGCAGTTCGCGTCATGTGATAGCGAGGCTGCTTGGGACAGAGATGCTCCAGGCGTGCGTCCACGGAATTCCTTGCACTTAGCGGCGTTGCTGTTTGGTTGACAAAAAAACAAAAGCGCCGGTAGGTGAAGTGAAAGTGCAACTTAAGGAGCAGGACCGTCACAATATGTGAGATATGTGTGTGTTTAAGCCCGTTCCTACTTAATTGAGTAGTGTCTACTTAATTACGGAAGAAGCTCTCTCCTAGCTACTAAAGCTTTAGTAACTGGACGCAGGATAGCTCACGCTTCTTCAAGGAAGCTCCCCCCGCCGCCCCAAAGGCAGTCGGGGGAGCTTTCTTGAAGCGCTCGCACTGATGATTTGGTTCCTAGATTTCTTGGGAAACTTATATAACATTCTGATATGGAGCTTTGTGTGCTGTGGTTGGTAGACTCATGCCCGTTCAGTATTCTTCATTGGTTTTGTCGTTGTCATGTTGGACCCATCACTCACTGATAGGACCAGTACACTGAAGTAAGGGTTTGCCATGGCTTGCATCGGTTTGGCTGGATTTGTTTTATTGTCGACGTCTATTTTTACTAATATACTTGTAGACTTGTAGATGCTTTTCACACCTGGCTCCCCTTGGCTGCCTGCAGGATTCTGTGAGCGTTGCAATATTGCTTGGTCAAGAGGTTCCGAGCTCAGCTTAGTGCTTTGCTTTCCAAATTCAACCGTTCAACATCTACAATTCAACAGATGTTCAAAGGTTTTCACCTGGTATCTCCTCTCATGTCAGTCTACTTTCATGGGCTGCCTTTTTTAATTTTTGCCCCAGATTGAGCTCAGGTTGTAGCAGTGACTGGGCAGCTTGACCTGACCGGGACACTGCGCAGGTTTTTCAGAAACCAAGAACTCTACCAGCGGCAGCCTCATTTGCAAGAGTGAGCCAATGAAGATGTCACAATCACAGTGTTTTTGTTGCGATAGATTTCTCCGTGTGCATATTCCAGAGTTTTATGCACCAATCAATGAACCAGTGTTTCAGCCTGACATCCTAATGTTCAGCCATTGCTTCAGCGAACTTCTAGACTTCTTTCAGGATCATAAGGATCTACATCTAATATCACGAACGATAAGGCCAGGATCCTCATTATCCGACTTAAGTTCGAGAAATCACTAAATCAATCTAAGTCACTAAATATCATCAACTATTCAGCTACTTAAATCATTATAGATAAATCAATATCATAAATCAATATAAATCACTTACTTCAATAATTCGATACTTTTTCAGGATCTACTTCGGTTTATCTGAAAAGACGCTACGCAGCGTTCCAAGGCCAGGATTCAGCGGCGTGGCTGTTGGGCGGTCACTCGGCTCCACCGCTCCACTTCGGCGCTTTTAAGGGCCATTAAAAAAAGAAAAACGACTGGCCCCTTCCTGGGTTGAGAAAGGAGGGCTCCCATGAGTTCCACATTGAGTTGAATGTGAGTCTTTTTATTTTGAGATGATTTGAGTTACAGTAGATTAGTGTCCGACTGAGGATTCCAGATGCCTTTGCTTACATTGCTTTGGAGCTTTTCCCACCAGGCATGGCATGATTCAATGATACACGATGCCTCCAGCATCTGCGAAATGCGCAACTCGACTAGGCTCCCAGTTCCCAGCACGACCTCTCACTGGTGAGGAGCAAATGGAGCGAAATGTGCGGGAGCTGCAGGCGCAGAATTCCAGTATATTCCAGTTGGGACCTCCTTTGGACTGTTCGAAAAACGGAGGCAGAGCCTGTCATCCATTGCCGCTTCTGCGACGGTTATGGTAGGAGGACTGGTCCGGATCGCTGGCGTGTCGAACGTACTCGAACTGAATGCCACAGTCAATGTGTCTTTGCTTCCAAGAAGTGATTGGTGACTGGAAATCGTGAGTCTTAAGTTAGTCCAAAGGAGTTGTGATGGCTGCGGCGGCCACGGGATTCTTGTGTGTGGAACCTGCGATGGCATGTGCAGAGCTGAGTGGAGTCACCACCGTAAAGTTCGCGGGGCTGGCGGTGCTGCGAATGCCAAGGCCGGCACTGCCATGTCCAGCGTGCCGTGGCAATGGCTTGCTCCAAGACAATTTAGAGGCGACGGTGTAACTTCACAGATTTGCCATGGGACCCAGTGATGATGACTAGTGACTACAGGATACTACAGTGCGTGCTTTCTGGTGTCCAACAACACACATCAACATGCTGTTTTGCCATAGCTTGCAGTGCTGGCAAGTGTTTTCTGCTTGTTGGACTACCGCGGATCTGCTTGCAAGGGCATCGGAGGGCCTTTGAGTCAAAGGAAAGTGGACGGAGAAGTCGTCAGTACAGTGCGGGGCCGCCGATGTCAAGTCCGGAGCTTAATACTTTCCGCATCTTTCAGCAGTCTTCAATCATCATCAATCCTGTACATGTGTGAAGCGTCGTACTGTGCATATCGTGTCTAATATCCCGCAGAATTGATCGTGTCCCTTTTGTTTTTCGTGGCGGCGTCGAAACTGAGAATTGCTGGGGAGCGCCCTTGACATGCAAAGCCTGCTTTGGGGCCGCGGCCCTACGCTGCGCTGCCCTCAGCCCTTGGCGAATCGATCACCAGGTTTCCCCCACACATCCTGCTCTTCATCTTCCTTCCCCCACACATCAACCTGCGAAGTTCCCCATATTTCTGAGCTGAGCGTCGCATGGTGGCGCAGTGCTCAGACTGTAAGTTTCTGAGGCAACATCTGCAACGGAGCTGGGTGGTCAGTTTGCACTCGCTGCCCCAGCTCCGCGGGTTACTGACCTGAGCTGCCACGTGAACGGAGTTGACTCCAAAGAGCGGAGCGTTGTACATACCGAGCCGGGAATGCAAGCGTGGTACATGTGCAAACGTTCAGACTTCAGAGCTCCTTGATCCTCCTTGCAGGTCTTGCTCTTGTGCAAAATGCAAAGTAGCAAGGGCATCGTTACTAGTAACAAGGGCATCTTAAAAGACTTTCACCCAACACAGGCACTTTCACCCAACCTGGCAGGTTCAGGCGGTCGATGTAGATGTTGAGCAGAAAGAGGCACTTCCTTTCCTTGTTCCTGCACCGAAAGGAAAGGTTGCCTCAGCAACCTGTGAGTTCAATTTGCTTTAGCTGAGAGCCAACCTTTCATCCACCCTTTTCTCAAGTGTTGTTATGTTGTTGCAGTCTGTTCAGAGATTACGCGCATAATCTTCGCACTCGGAGCGGAGCGGAGTTGACCCGCTCCGAGTGCGAATCTGCAGCTAAGCAGGCCGTAGCATTGCGGGATGGCCAGAATGCCGAGCTTGGTGAAGTTTTGGATCAGGAGCGCAATCTTCACGGTCATGACAACTGCAAGCGTTTGTATCTGGAGCCTTTTTTGTTGGTGTCCCAGGAGTATACGGCAGGCTTCTATACAGACATTGAGTCAGAGTCCTTGCCGAAGGGCCTTAACGAGGATGGATTCCAAAGTTTCATTGTGTTTTCATTGGATGGAAGCTTTGTAATGCCTTGCAAGTGTGTATTTCTTGGTGAGGACATCGTTCGGAAGATCTGGGAGATTAAGGAGGAACCAGACTGGATGCTAGAATTTCGCCTGAATGCCTTCAGGAGCTGCAATTTTTTGGAAAATGTAGAATTGAAAAGCAGTGGAGCAAATCCTCGTTTGCAGGAAGTGGAAAAGCATGAAGATGCCAGAATGGGCACACTTGGAGATGGCAGAGATTGACTTTCAGGACTGGACCGCAACTGCTCAGATCTGCAAAACGGGAAGGAAGCTCAGAGAACTCAGCCAGGACATTGTATACTACTCCAGACCAAAGTCAAAGGCCAAGAAGCAGAGCCTCGACGAGGCTTGAGCTTGAAATCAGTGACACCGAGCCGCCAAACTACATCCACTATTCCCTCACTTGTTGGGTTCCCAATTACTCACCATGCCTGAAACAACTTCAGCCACGAACGAAAGCTAGTACTGTTTGCCGCCATGTGGCAGCAATGCTTCGCAGATCTTTGCAGTTAAATCCGCATGCGTGATTTGCTGGCTACTCTTGAACTTGAGACACCTCGAGGTGGACCCCGAGCTTCTGAATACCTTTGAGAAGTTGGGCATCCCGCTTACGGAACAGAAGGCACATTAACATTAAGTACAAAAAGTTTGCGTGTTGCAGCACTTGAGCCAGCTCCCCCTCATGCTTTGACTCTTTGAAGCAGCTTGTGGAACAATTGCTCGATCCCAGCGCCTGGCCAACGTGGCGGTGGATGCGGTCTTCGATAGTGAGAGCATTGGCACAACCTTTCAGAAAGAACTTCAAGAGGCCATGTGGGACCGAAGTCAAGTTGGTTATGTTATAGATGTCATTGAGCAGGATCAAAGATGGGACTTAAATGAATTAAACTTGGCCTTATGTGGAGAAAACAAACACCAAGAGTGTGTGTGTGTGTGTTTCATCGCTTAGGAAGACGCCTTCTGCCGTCAGTCTCGTCGTTGTCACCAGACTGGTTTGGTCCTGTGGTCCTATGCATCTACAGGATCCAGTCAATCTTCAGAACGCACCTTTTGGCGCCTTCTTTCGCTCGGCCAAGGACATCAATTGTCCTAGGTCCTAAGCGAAGCGTTACAGTGTTGTAAAACCCTTGTATTATGTTGCATTTTGTTTAATTGATATAATATATATATATATAACAAGAAGAATGGTAAATAAATCTGGGATTCATTCAATTTTGGTCCTGACATTTGGCAATGCGGACATGGTTCCGTGGATGCTGCCACTGGCGGGAGCAAAGGATATGTCAAAAGTCATAGAGTCATACTAGTATCGCACCATTGCATGCTAGGATGCTTTGCACTATTGCCTTTCATAGTATCCATGCAGCAAATGAATCAGTCCAACAGCCCAGTTATGGTTGCAGGCAGGAGTCATTTTCTGCTCCATCAACGAGGCAATCAAGGAGCATTGATCTGGGGAGGGAGGACACCGATTGGACCAACGCATGTTGTTTGGGTCTTTGGAGCGCCAGGAACATCCAGAGCTGATCAAGAAGTACTTGGGCTCTGTTGTTCCAACTGCTGACAACTATTTTGCTGCTCTGAATAGGCCTGTGTGTTGTTTTGCCTGTGTGTTTCAGTTCCAACCGTTCGACGGTGTTCGACCATGTGTCTCATGAAGAGTCTCATGTGTCTCATGTTCCTTCCTGCTCGCAGTGCGGTCTTCAGCGATGGATCCTTTTGCTACATCCCCAAGGGCACCACGTGCCCGATGGAGATCTCCACCTACTTCCGCATCAACAACAAGGACCTAAATTCGCAGAAGAGCAAGAAGAATATCTTTAAGAGCGGGTGTCCAGAATCCTCCAGAAACTGTGTGAATGCACATGAAACCTCAAGCTGAAGCTTGGGAGGAGTCTGGTCAATTTGAAAGAACCTTGCTCATTGCTGATGAGCAGAGCTATGTCTCATACTTGGAAGGATGCACTGCTCAAACCTCAGCTAGTGAAAGAAGGCCAACATGACCAGTTGCCATGCGTTTCATGCTGTTTTCTGATGACCTAGGCACCAATGTTCGACTCAAAGCAGTTACATGTGGGGGCGCTTGATGATGTATACTCATCCAGTTCTGTCGGACACAACCTTCAAAACCACAGGTGTTCATTGATGATCGTTCCTTTTACTAGTCGATTTGAAGAGCTGAAAGCTGGGGACTGACTTTTCGGGGACCAAGGCTGCAGTGGTGGAGCTTCATGCTGCAGAGGGCGCCGAGATCAAGTGCTTCACCCGAGTTTCACCCAAGACATTGGTTTGAATCATGTCAATAGAGTTTCTCCGCTCAACCGTGCTCAAGCATGCTCATGGGTGGACCTGAACGGCTGTCTTCAGGTACTCCACAGTGCAAAATTGGTGCCCACTTCAGCCTCTTGAGCTTTGGATACTTGGCCTTCTAGAAGGCCTTCGTACTTGGCAGGTACGCTGGTGATAAGAACGGAAAGGGTGGAATTCTCAATCTGGTGCACCACTCAGTCAGGCCTGGAAGGTCAACACATGTCAACACCGTCAACACCATGATTCCGAGATTCCTCTCATGTCCTCTCCGTATGGATTGGAACGGCCACATCAGTAAGATGAAACCGTGAGTCAGTGTAGCCATGCTGAGATGTGACCAGACGGGACCAGATGTGACGAGCCCCTAGGTCACAAAGCGTGGTGTGTGTGAGGGGAAGAAGTCCAAGATCTCCTGGACCCAGGAGCCAAGTCATCACTGCTTGCTTTTCAGAAGACATTCATGAGACTGCCCAGCTCGCTTCGCGTCTGGTATTTCATATGTCTACATGAACTGTAACGGCCCTGTGCGAGGTTGAAACTGGCTCCGCTGTCACCTGGAAGTACCCATCCTGCGTGCTGAAGGCGCTCCCAGCTACGCCTCTCGCGAAGCGTTTGCTTGCTTGGTGAAAACCAATCAAAAACCCATGGGAGGGCGATGGATCGATTGGCGAGTTCTACTCTGTGGCTTTGACCAACAACTACCAGCAGGCAGGAACAGAACCTGGTGCGTTCGGTGTAAGTCGTGTGACTGCTTGCTCATGAATCCTCCATAGATCTCTACCAATTGCCTGCTTGCGACTCGCGGTTCCAGCAGCAAGAGAGCAGCGTTCTATGTCGACCTCACTTGAACATGAAGTGGCTTGAGCATGGACTGGAGAAGCCTTTGGAATCCTTGTTTTGGCCAACAAAAAGGGATTTCTCAGGATGTGGGACTGAGCTCAACACCACTGACTGATGAGTCATGTGTTGTTCCATTCAACTGACAAAAGACACGAATGTTCAGCGACACGACTACTCCGTAGAATGTTGAGCTTTGATGGCCTTTTAGCCCAGGTGGGCAGATTTGAACGATTGGTTGATTTGTTTGAGCAAATGAGATGATGGCATTGAGCTTGAAGAGATATGATCCTCAAAAAATGGTTACAGTTGCATAGAGATAGAGATTCCAGGTCTTCGAAGCTGTTGAAGAGCAAGAAGAAGAGCATGCAGAAGAGGCTGAGGCTGAGGTGGACTTACTCGAATTCCGGATTGGAATGCAGAGTTGCATCGTTTGCGTATAAAGCTACTTGTACAGTATGTGATCTCAGACGGGCATTTTTGACTCGTCAAGTAAGTCTCAGGCAGCCGTCCATTCGCCTTTGCATCAAGAAGAAGTCATCCCTTTCCCAGAGGACAGGCCATTCCCATCTCAATCGGGCCCAACTACAATCAAAAACATTCAAAAATCAAAGCCTCTAGAAGGTGCCTGTTCCTGGCTGTGCAGGAAATAAGCCAGATCTCAAGAGTCGGGGAGCTTAAAATTTAGGATTTGCAAGGCTGCAACTAGGTGTAGGATCGTGGTTGCATTGATGCTAATTCACAGCAAGCTGCCATCCCCCACTGGGTTTATTGATCCTAGTCCCGCCCTCCAAGCCAACGAGTGCTGCTGCCTATGGCACACACTGCAACAAGTTGTGCAACAGTTTGATAAATAATGTATGCCATACCTCAGTGGGTGTGTATTGGAATAGGGAGAACTAGATATTCACCGAATTGATCCGCTCCATGTATGTTTATCCCAAAAAGTAGTTGATGAACCACCTGAAGAAAAGAGTTCATGTGAATGACATTGCCTGCGGAAGTTGCCGAAACCATATAGGATAAATTGAGTGAAACGAAGCAAAAGATTGATCTTGGCTGACACCAATTGCTTGGGGTTCGCCTGCATCTCATCAAACCTGCTTGCTGCTTGGCTGCAGGCTGCTGATGCCCTTGCTGCTTCCTTTGTTTTCCTCCATGTTCCGCCGTGGAAGTCGTTCTAACGCGCCCCTGGCGCGTTCCGTTCGTGCAAGGACTCCCCTGATCATCGTTTGGACGTCCAGAGGCATTTGTCGTCACTGAGACTGACTCAGACTCGTTCAAACGGCTTCCTTCCAAAGCGGAAACCAAAGGGTTTGAAGATGCTTCGGTGCTTCGTCATGTTCATAGATATGATTATCATAGATGATCTTGATAAGCGCTGTTCCAGGTTTCCGTGGTCCTCTCCGCACTCACCAGTCAGGCTAGCGGAGTTTGGGCAAAGGACCCAAAGCAAAGTTGCTGGGGTGGGCAGTTCTATGGCCACCTTCCAGTAGTTTAGCACATCCTTTGCGGTTCAAACGCAGGCGCGGAAAGGGGAGTGCAAGCGCACCCTGCTTGCAAAGAGGACTGATCTTGTAACACTGTTCTCCTGTGAACGTCCTTGCGGATTCGTGCGCTGTCGCTTCAGATTCTGAGGAGGATTACCTCCCATAGCGAGTTCAAGAAGGCCACCGGGTCACCGGCATCGCGGTGGGATCGCGGCGAATCGTCGGTCGGATCGGTCGGTCCGATCGTGTGCAGGCACAACAACGAGGGGCTCGACACTCCGATGTTGGGGATGACATGGATACATTGCGATTCACCGGTGGAAAGACCAATCTCCAGATGGCGGTCTTTGTGGGAAAGACTCGTTTTTTCGCATCCCTCACATAGTTCATGATGGTGTTAATAATCTTAGTATGCCTCTCAATATTGTAAACCTCAGCTTGGGTGCAGAGCGAAGCCCCACGAAACTTTGTCCAGGCCTGACTCATTAAGTCAAAACTTTTTGGCAGGCAGCCAGACTGGAAGCCGGTTCGCAGAAAGCCTTTGCCTAGGCAGAGTTTCTTAAATGCCTTGCGCCTTCACAGCAGTGGATCATCATGGCAAGCACATGAGCGTTCCTAAAATTGCCAGCTTCCTGTGTGGTGCCAAGGATCAACACTGATCAAAGTGGCACTGGCGAACAGTGGGCCCCACCAAAGATACAGGGAGGCAGATGTTGCACCGGTTGCTCCATGTCTTGGAGAGAGCAGCGATTTTTGATATGTTTTGCAGGTGGAGCTTGGGGTGGCATGTTACAGGCACAGCACAAGAGGCTCGATGCGACTGGAGAGGAGTTGGAGCAAAGGCAGAGAGACAGAGAGAAGAGAGCTTCTGACAAGACCTCCAACCTAATGGCAGTGGCCTCCAACCTATATACCTCCAACCTAATAGCGATGGCCCCCACCCCCCCAACTTAAGAGCTTCTGAGCAAGAATCTCTTGACTTCAAGACTCCTCCAGTGCCCCACCAGAGCCACAGTTGCAAACATTGAATTGATGGCCCGAAGTGAGGATTGGCAGGACAGGGGCCCAATCCCAACAAGTGCCCAGTGACCGTGACCCATTTCACCCGAGACGGTGCAGGGTTCCAACAATCACCCACAGATTTTGAGGCGGCCCGGGAACACAAGAACAGTAACCAGTGGATATTCATGTCCCGCTTCCAATCTTGCCTTGCAAGCACTGTAGCCATTCATGACAATGTCAAAGATGCTGCCACTTGCTTGCTGGCTTTAAGGACCTTAAGGTCCACAGAAGTGTGCGTTTTCGAGGGGTTCCCGAGTTTGCTTCCAAAGCTTTCGGAAAAACACATAATATAGCAAAATAGCTTCCTCATGTTGCAAGGCTTGCTGGAGTGCTTGTGCGGGACCCGGAAAGTCCAAGTGTTGTTGTAGATGTCGCCAGCATCTGGAGTCGCTTGTTCCCAAAAACTGCAGGCCAAGCAACACAGAGAGGTATCAAAGCTGAAGAATCAACTCACCGCTTTGTTCGCACCCGAGACATCCTCGAGGGAGTGAACTCCATTTCGTTCGACGCGAGTGGACTCTTCAGGCAGCAGCTGAATCGCATGGGCGGACAGGTGGGTCAAGACCCTCAAACCGATGTGGAGACCTTAGCGCTTGGGCTCAGCAAGCTCTCAGAGCTTGGACTCACCCATCAATCAGATGCTTTTCGAATTCAGGGAACCGTGCATGACTACATGTCCAAAATCGCTCCAAAGGTGGGCAGGACGGGCCTCGCGTCGTCGTCTACGGCTGTTGGAGTGAGTGAATCGGCCCTGGGCAGCCGAGCAATCGGTGCTCCGTTCGGAAGGAAGGCGCCACAATGGCGGCCCAGTAATCTACCTCAGTGGAGGCTCTTGGAAGGCAAAGCAGAACCACAGACAGTTCTTCAAGTAGAGCAGAACAGCCAGGGACAGGGCTGATTTGGCTGAAGCACGGAGTTTGATTGAGCATGCACACACATGCATAGAGTTTTTTGGAATTGAGCTCATTGGCAAATGAATCTTGACTCAGATGGCCATCAGATGGCTGACCTCTGAGGTCGTCTTTGCCAAGCTTCCTCTCCCAGGATCAGGCTGAAACTCAGCTTCGCCCAAAAAGCTTTTGGCCGTTTGGCTGTGCTTTGGCCGTGCAGGATGCCATCTCGGAACTCTCGGAGGAGAAGGCGGGCATGGAGCTGTCGGGGGTTCCAACGCCAAGCTGTTAGAGCTGTTAGCTCACCGCTTTGCTTAAATCGTGAGACGATGATTGGTACCAAGAAGCAATTCCATATTCCAACAATGCCAGATGCGGTGGGCCGCCAGCTTCTTGAGGCAGAATCTCCAGTGGCGGTGCAGCACTTGCAGGGCCAGGAGGACTCTGAGAAGTTGCCTGCCATGTCACATGGCTCAGATCAGTGAATCGGATCGAAGATGATCGTGGTGTTCACGTGTCTTCAAATGTCATGGAATGAGAAACTGAACATCCGGTCGCTCTCCATTCAAAATTCGTTGGATTGAGGCTGACCCCTAGACCTGACGTCGAGGCCGAGACTTCACATTGCGACATGCAAATGACACCGCGACGATGGTGTAGTTGATTGGTTCTTGTATGTTCTTGTTCCAGGCCCAGAAAGCCCAGGAAGCAGAATCCAGAGAAGATCCATGTGCAGATTTGATTGATGAGTTCAGCATCCAGGTGTGCAAAGCATCAAGCTAGCTCCAAGCAGCTTCTTTTGGAAATTGGGTCGTTGTTGGATGTTCTTTGCAAGGATACAGCAGAAGTGTTCTGTTCACAGTCTATGAACCAGGAGCCGACAACAGACACTGGAACAAAGAGCGAATAGGTTTCTAGTCTGGTCACTCTCACAGAGTATTGACCAACCAGGATAGCAGCGAAGTTGAAGCCGAGACGATTGAAAACGACGGCCTCGAGGCTACTTCGATTCAACTACTTCCCCACTTCAAATAAATCAGCGGTAAGATAATCAGGTGGCTCCTGATTCCGCCGATCCTGACCTTGACCACGTGGAGATGCACTGTCAGTTGAGCCCTGGCGAAGTTGGGCTCGACTGCATGGCCAAAGAGGACGAAAGTAATGGTGAAGCTGAAGAAGCTGAAGATGATGTTGCAGATGAAGCGATTGAGGACGGTTGAGCGTTGTTTTGTGAAACGAATGGTGATGAAACAGGACTTTTCCCAAATGATATTAATATATAGTAATATTAATGATGTCCGGTACACTCGACTAGGCCAACAGGGGCTCGAGCTTCTTCTTCCAGGGTTCAGGCCTTGGTGAAATGGGTCGTGGGGGCCTCCACTTGCGATGGCCTCCAGCCTAAGAGCGATGGCATCCTTAAGAGCGAGCCAAAATGCTTGGTGATGCAAAGGCGCCCCTAGTAGCTTCTTGTCCCTAGTAGTAAGGCCAGGAGCCCCTAGTAGCGTCCTTGCTCCTAGTAGCGATGCCAGGAGCGCCTAGTATAGCTAAAAATGCTGAGCGCTCAGGCCCGGCCCAAGAGTCTCTCATGCATGCGGCACTGGGGTGAGGATCTGAGCAAATTCGGCGGAGAACCTCCCTCTCTCTGACTGAGAGGGGGACTGTACTGAAGAAAGTGAAACGACGTGTCACATGACCACGGCTTTGTTTCAACGGCATAACTGGCATGATGCCATGCAACAAAGTGGCACAGCGGCCTCCTGAAGCCGATGGAGACAGAGAGTGCACCCAAGCCAAGCCTCGCATGTTGAGGTACAGCCAAGCTAGCAACCTTGCTGCCAGCTTTGCAGAGGCTTTCGTTGCTTGTTGAGCTGCTTGAAAGCCAGCTTCAATCGATTTGGGGAACCAACAATGCGGGGCAACTTCATCAGCTACCAACAATTACACCACCGTAGACCCCAAACAGTTTGCGCTTTTCAAATCGAA